GAACCTAGGACATGCTTGTACATGAAGGACAATGTACTACATGTTCCTAAAAACACCAGCCCTATAAATCCAGTGGTGAAATTTGCACGTTTAAATGGGGATCAGGGATGATGGCAGTTATGTTGAATACATTTGAGGACGATCAGGGATGATGGCAGTTATGTTGAAAACATTTGAGGACGATCAGGGATGATGGCGGTTATGTTGAATACATTTGAGAAAAATCAAGGATGATGGCAGTTATGTTGAATACATTTGAGAAAAATCAGGGATGATGGCAGTTATGTTGAATACTTTTGAGAAAAATCAAGGATGATGGCAGTTATGTTGAATACATTTGAGAAAAATCAGGGATGATGGCAGTTACGTTGAATACTTTTGAGAAAAATCAAGGATGATGGCAGTTATGTTGAATACTTTTGAGAAAAATCAAGGATGATGGCAGTTATGTTGAATACATTTGAGAAAAATCAAGGATGATGGCAGTTACGTTGAATACTTTTGAGAAAAATCAAGGATGATGGCAGTTATGTTGAATACTTTTGAGAAAAATCAAGGATGATGGCAGATATGTTGAATACATTTGAGAAAAATCAGGGATGATGGCAGTTACGTTGAATACTTTTGAGAAAAATCAAGGATGATGGCAGTTATGTTGAATACATTTGAGAAAAATCAAGGATGATGGCAGAAAATACTTTTGAGAAAAATCAAGGATGATGGCAGTTATGTTGAATACTTTTGAGAAAAATCAAGGATGATGGCAGTTATGTTGAATACTTTTGAGAAAAATCAAGGATGATGGCAGATATGTTGAATACATTTGAGAAAAATCAGGGATGATGGCAGTTATGTTGAATACTTATGAGAAAAATCAAGGATGATGGCAGTTATGTTGAATACATTTGAGAAAAATCAAGGATGATGGCAGTTACGTTGAATACTTTTGAGAAAAATCAAGGATGATGGCAGTTATGTTGAATACTTTTGAGAAAAATCAAGGATGATGGCAGATATGTTGAATACATTTGAGAAAAATCAGGGATGATGGCAGTTACGTTGAATACTTTTGAGAAAAATCAAGGATGATGGCAGTTATGTTGAATACATTTGAGAAAAATCAGGGATGATGGCAGTTATGTTGAATACATTTGAGAAAGATCAGGGATGATGGCAGTTATGTTGAATACATTTGAGGCGGATCAGGGATGATGGCAGTTATGTTGAATACATTTGAGGCGGATCAGGGGTGATGACAGTTATGTTGAATACATTTGAGGAGGATCAGGGATGATGGCAGTTATGTTGAATACATTTGACGAAGATCAGGGATGATGGCAGTTATGTTGAATGCATTTGAGGAAATGAAGAAAAAGATTCTAATTAATTTTATTATGTAAAAAATTTGCTGAAATCATTTCTTGGGATCATGCATTCGTCATAGGATCGTTAAAAAATGGGGCACAAGGGAATGTGTGGAATTGGATGCAGGAATTAAAACCAAAAAAGGAATTAAACTGCTCCATAGAGCTGTTCCGTCGTTCAAGGACCCGTCAGTGACACTTTAGGCAGGAAGTGTAGAAACATACGAGGTGACGTTGGCAAACCAAAAGTGCTCGAAGTAAAACTCAGAATATTGATGGGAAGTTTCACCAACCCCATTATTCAATGTCAGAATTTTCAATATTGGATTATTTCACAAGACCGTTAAGTTACAACGGAACTTCGGGACCGAAAGCCCACCAGCAGTGTCTATCAGCTTCATCTCAAGATTTAGTGTTAGATACAATACAGATGAATAATGAATTAAACTGCACTTCTCTTATCTAACCATGTATATCGTTGATGTGTATTAGTTTTCCAGCTCTTAGCGTATAACCTGAGACCAGTCGTACCTGAAATAGTTGGTCATAACTCATCTGAACAACACCATGGGGGTCAACAGTACTTATCACGGAGGAAAGGTACAGTATGTCGGAGAACACAGAGATTCACGTATTGATGTACAGCCAAGTTTGTGTGTTAAGATTGTACAAGAGAGACGTAAGTGATAAGCAGATACAGAAAAGCCAAACATTAAATCAAACAGTGTCATACAGCTATTTCGTTTTCCCAAGATTTGCCGGTGATGCTAAGGGTGAAAGGAATATCACAACTGAAAAAAAGTCGAAATCTCTCAGATGGAAAGGTTTATTAGTCCCATAATTCAGTGAGTTTTGTAACTTCCACACACATTTATGTGTATGCTATCGCCACATAACATAAAAGCAGAAAGATGCGCGATCCCATTAAACTTGAAGAAAATACTTGCACGTGCCAAAATATGATGTCAACGACCAATACTGCACGATGTGGTTTCGAGGTTGCGGAGATACCAGATGCGGGACATGTTAACACATAAAAGAAGGCCATTCCTTCATACTCAAAAACGGAAAAGTTATAAAGCCAAACAGTTGCAAAAGCAATAACCTTATTTACTGGTGTTACCTGTCCAACTTCCTCGAAGACATTGGACAGACGGGAAACGCTCTGTCTGAACGGCCCGAGTCCACCGAAAGCAGATTCGCTCGCCAGAAACGCGAATTGTCCCGTTAGGTGGACATTTGGATAAGTGTGGTAAAGAACATTTCAGGGTACATCCCTTCTACAAAATGACAGAGCTTTCAAAATGAGTCAGTAAAGAGGAAATGTTTGCCAAACGTTTTAACCCGTCCCTAAACTCGCACAAAAGTTTATACCGGGAGGTCAGTTATACCATTTTTTAACTCCCCTTACAATGGACAACAACATTATCATAATGTAGGTTAATGTGTAACGTACCTATAGCATCAATCGCCTGAAGATGACCGCAAGGCTTGAAAACGTCAGTGATTGTGATTTGGAATGTTAGGTTTTATGTTTTTATACTTGTACATATATCTGATAATTTAAAATGATCATGAAATGCGTGTATATAAAATACGACGTTGTCAACCTTCGAATATGTATGAATTGACGATTAAAACGAGATTTGAATATCATATGCAAAAATTGAAAATAGTAAAATTTCATTTATATCACTTGATTATTTCTTTAATTCCCTATGTATACAATCGATAATCTTAATACCGCACACATGGAACAAGTTAAAAAGCGATAAATATTTGTTTTGTTTACAAAAGCAACAATACAATACCAATATGTCAACATAATCATAATTTAAACTTAAATTCAATATAAACAAAGAAAAATTTACACGGAGACTCATGAAAAATACAAGGAGAATCAGACCAGGTGTTCTAGAAGAGGTTTCGTCTTCTGCTTCATTAATGACTCCCGCCATGTAAAATTCGGGCCGTCGAAATAGGTAGAACAAGTAAACAATAACGAAATCATCAGGTTCATATTGCACAAAGGACTGGAGTATTTCCCAATGAGATCACTATGAAACCGTCTCCTTGCAAAAACATCGTAATATTGAGAACGAGACAATGAGATCGAATCAACTGCAACATGTAAACACCATAGTTGGGGATGCAGGGATGTTGTTATATCCATGGAAAATTCACTAAAAGTTTCATGGGAAACTCTCCTCGTTTTTTTCGTTGTAGGAAAAGATCGAGGTAAGGTCTATCCTGTCTTTGATTTCCAATTCAGGCGAGTATATACAAAGGACATAGTCAATAAAAGTCGTTTTTATTAAGACAAGAAATTATCAATTCATCCGAAAGTGAATCTGAAGAATTTTGCGAGCCCTTTGTTGCTAGGTTTGATAAATTCAGCCTCGTGTGAAGTAAAGAAAGTTCTTTCCAAGATGCAACGTCCGATGAGAATGTACACGATATAGCTAAGCTAAAAGTGCCAACAACACTAACAAGCTATAGTAAGCACAGCTTGACATTACAGCTTGATCAAAGTTTAGTCCGCTTCATGATACGGAGATGTGAACATGACTTAAGCTGTAAATCAGACAAATCAATAGATAAATAGCTATATAATGGTATTTCATAAGCATTTTAATCAAAATATGTTCCTGTGTCTGTCTCCGGATTCCAGATAAATCACTTAGAAATGGCCAAAAGTTTCCCTGATGCCCGAATATCTAGACCGTTTTACGGAATCTGTTTGCTTTATGTATAATATGTATAATAGTACATACAGTATATTCTCATTATCTCGAAGTCATATCACTCGAAGACTCCGTTTATTTCGAATTATACCAATTATTCAGTGGTATCAAAATTTACTCACAAGTTGTATACACTATAGCAAAGCTGAATGCAATTTATTTAAAATGATAATCTTCAAAATAGTATTCAAAATTACGACTGATTCATGATGGCCTAGTCTCGATGTACTCCTCAGGACCTCAAGAATCTTGTATATTTTGTATTCATGCTTCTATTATAAGATAATTATTATAAGATCAGGTTTTCAGAATATATTTCATGATATAAGAACATGAATAATTCCATGTTCATACATTTCAAGTAAAACTATAATGTGTATATGCCAACACCTTTTGAGATTTTTTGTAAAACGTATGAATGATTACCTACGTGTAATAATGTATTTAAAATGTATTTATGCATATACAATTCACTTTATAAGCATGATAAATTCTATTAGTACGTGCCATGGAACGTAAAACTCTTGCAATATATTTTCTTATTGGTGCGTGTGCTTTGATGTTTGACTTAAAATTAATTATAAATTAAAAATGAGAAATTAAGTGATAATGTTTTGTCTGTAGTATAGGTATAAATGTAAGTGTATTTGGTTAAGATGCTAAGGCTAAACATGGAGTTCACTGTAAGTTCACAGTGTGATATCGTCCGTTCCATCACTTGATGGGTGACCCTTTATATGTCTAGTAAGTCTATGTCACAGGACGAAATGGACATCCCCTTGTATAGGCCGACAGGTATTAATCACAGGTATATACACACGAGATATAGTCACCTGTTATAAACACAGATCTCATCCCCTCCGTATGGAACAGGTCAGTCGTGTGCTGTATAGCCGAAGGTATGTACATTATGTTATGTATGTTTATCGTTCGCCTTACTGAGGGTATGTGCACTGTTTCGGTTGAGGTTTGTTTTATGGTCATCAAAGTATTTTTTCACCGCAGAGAAAGCGATCCTCATATGAGCAATCCCAAAACCACAGATTATACTGTTTCAATAAGATTGTATTTGGAACATCAAGAACACAATGGTGTATTTGACTAAATGTTTATATTGCATTCTGACATTAGATAAACAGTGGACTATCATCAGTAGCGGAGTGTTTACAAGTGATATAGTAAACAATAGCAAACTATGTAAACTAGCTAAAAATAAATGCTCTGCTAAATATTTACATTGGTAATCTATTATCGAGCTTTATCTCTAATGTAGTGTTTTATTGTTGTTATTTTTACACTGAATTTATATTTTATTATTTATCACCATGACTACCTGCCTATTGACGTCATAGCATTTGGTTTAAATTTCATTTTCACATGACGTGATAGAATGTCAGTAATTTCGCTTTATGCAGATATTATAAGCATGTTGCGTGTACACCTTGTAGATTGTCTACTCTTCAAGATGTAACTGATGTGTTTGTGATCTTTATTAAAAGTATATATAAATACAGTCAACATTGACAAGTTTCTTGTGACGAGCATTGTCATGTTTTCAATAAAATATATATTAGCTATATATGTAACTTAGCCATCCGGCGATGACCTATATTTAGAAATATCGAGCTTCAAGTGGCCATGGCAGATTTATTACATTACAACAAGTGGTTAACACACAGATACTGTATGCTGTGTCCGGATTGTCATAAAAGTATAGTCCAACATCTAGCATGGTTACCTGGTAATCATGTTTTACGATATTTACTATAATTTATATTTACAGTCCCGCCCAATAACGAATTACATAATGAAAAAAGCACCATCTTTATATAAAAATCAATTTTAATAGAGCAGGATGTCTGTTTATAACAGACCAACATAGTGACTGACTAACATAACTTACGGAGAGTTGTTAATGAAGCTAAGACTGAATTTATAAGTTTTAAAGTTTATTTCAAATCTTTAAGCGTTTTTATATATTGTAAACACTTCGTTTATTATCACCATTTGCCTTATTTACACTATTTTGATCGAAGATCTATAGTCGAGTCCAAATTCGTTATATTATAAAGTAACTGGTGGTATATGGTGACTATTGGATAGGACATTCAGATTAGATGAAAATACCACGAGGATCTGGGTTCAGAACAGAAAGGTCCATTTTTAATGGATCGACTCTAACTGCAAACTAATATTGCATGGGCTATAGATGTATAGAACTATTATACAAAACCTGGCACGTCCTTTAATCACATTGACTGTTAAGAGGACGTAAAACAACCATAAGCCAAACTAAACCAAATATGCAAAAGAACAACTGAAACAACATCCACCAATACAAAGTTAGAATTCAATGCGATATATGCAAAAGTAATGCATAAAACTGCACCATACAACTGTTTCATGATTCTAGGGTTCATCAGTTATGTCAAATGCCTAAAATGGGGGAAATTGATAGCGAATTAGAATACAAGAACTTATTAACAGTAGATGTATCAAACTGAAACCAGGAGTGTGAATTATATGAAGCAGTGTTTCAGTATCAAACTGAAACCAGTAGTGTGAATTATATGAAGCAGTACTTCAGTATCAAACTTTAAACAGTAGTGTGAATTATATGAAGCAGTACTTCAGTATCAAACTTTAAACAGTAGTGTGAATTATATGAAGCAGTACTTCAGTATCAAACTTTAAACAGTAGTGTGAATTATATGAAGCAGTGCTTCAGTATCAAACTTTAAACAGTAGTGTGAATTATATGAAGCAGTGTTTCAGTATCAAACTGAAACCAGTAGTGTGAATTATATGAAGCAGTGTTTCAGTATCAAACTGAAACCAGTAGTGTGAATTATATGAAGCAGTGCTTCAGTATCAAACTTTAAACAGTAGTGTGAATTATATGAAGCAGTGCTTCAGTATCAAACTTTAAACAGTAGTGTGAATTATATGAAGCAGTGTTTCAGTATCAAACTTTAAACAGTAGTGTGAATTATATGAAGCAGTGCTTCAGTATCAAACTGAAACCAGTAGTGTGAATTATATGAAGCAGTGCTTCAGTATCAAACTTTAAATATGAAGCAGTACTTCAGTATCAAACTTTAAACAGTAGTGTGAATTATATGAAGCAGTGTTTCAGTATCAAACTTTAAACAGTAGTGTGAATTATATGAAGCAGTGCTTCAGTATCAAACTTTAAACAGTAGTGTGAATTATATGAAGCAGTGTTTCAGTATCAAACTTTAAACAGTAGTGTGAATTATATGAAGCAGTGCTTCAGTATCAAACTTTAAACAGTAGTGTGAATTATATGAAGCAGTGCTTCAGTATCAAACTTTAAACAGTAGTGTGAATTATATGAAGCAGTGCTTCAGTATCAAACTTTAAACAGTAGTGTGAATTATATGAAGCAGTGCTTCAGTATCAAACTTTAAACAGTAGTGTGAATTATATGAAGCAGTGTGATCAAACTTTAAACAGTAGTGTGAATTATATGAAGCAGTGTTTCAGTATCAAACTTTAAACAGTAGTGTGAATTTTTGAAGCAGTGTTTCAGTATCAAACTTTAAACAGTAGTGTGAATTATATGAAGCAGTGCTTCAGTATCAAACTTTAAACAGTAGTGTGAATTATATGAAGCAGTACTTCAGTATCAAACTTTAAACAGTAGTGTGAATTATATGAAGCAGTGCTTCAGTATCAAACTTTAAACAGTAGTGTGAATTTTTGAAGCAGTGTTTCAGTATCAAACTTTAAACAGTATTGAATTATATGATCAGTATCAAACTTTAAACAGTGTGTGAATTATATGAAGCAGTGTTTCTTCAAACTTTAAACAGTAGTGTGAATTTTTGATATAAATTTAAACAGTAGTGTGAATTATATGAAGCAGTGTTTCAGTATCAAACTTTAAACAGTAGTGTGAATTTTTGAAGCAGTGTATCAAACTTTAAACAGTATGTGAATTATATATGAAAAATCCTTAACTTTCGTGTTTTTCTTTTCTTTTTCGCTAACTTAGCGGGTACTCTAAATCCACGAATAGATATGTCCAAAAAAGTTAAATTTGAAGAACTAGATTTGTTGAGATATGTCTATCCGCGAAATCAAGTGCCCACGAATTTTGTTCAACCATGAAAATTGTGTCCCGCGAAAATATACAATATTACAGTACATGGATGTATCGGATTCTATCGACCCAAATCATTTCACACGTGTGATGGTATGTTGTAATGTCTTGTATTATGGACATCAACAAACTTTCTGTCTACTGCATGTGAGAGTGAAACGTTTACGCCAAATATTGAATTAAATCATACTGCTGTCACGTTCTCCCAGGACTTGTGCAATGATATAAATTACAATTGACATGTATTTCTCTTGGTATATGTTATCCTTAACTTTCGTGTGTTTCTTTTCTTTTTCGCTAACTTAGTGATGTTATTAAAAAGTTAAATGTTGAAGTAACGTAGATTTGTTATATGTCTGGTGTGTTTTGTAACGTGATGTTGTGTCCCGCGAAAATACACAATATTACAGTACATGGATGTATTATCTGATGTGTTTTCACACGTGTGATGGTATGTTGTACACGTGTGAGAGTGAAACGTTTACGCTTCTAGAGTTACGTTTTCCATGTGTTGACTAGATTTCTCTTGGTATATGTTATACTGGTGTGTTGGTAACGTGATGTTATTATCTGGTGTGTTGGTAACGTGATGTTATTATCGGGTGTGTTGGTAACGTGATGTTATTATCTGGTGTGTTGGTAACGTGATGTGTGTTGGTATTGTTATACTGGTGTGTTGGTAACGTGATGTTATTATCTGGTGTGTTGGTAACGTGATGTTATTATCTGGTGTGTTGGTAACGTGATGTTATACTGATGTGTTTGTAACGTGATGTTATTGTCTGGTGTGTTGGTAACGTGATGTTATTATCTGGTGTGTTGGTAACGTGATGTTATTATCTGGTGTGTTGGTAACGTGATGTTATTATCTAGTGTGTTGGTAACGTGATGTTATACTGGTGTGTTGGTAACGTGATGTTATACTGGTGTGTTGGTAACGTGATGTTATTATCTGGTGTGTTGGTAACGTGATGTTATTATCGGGTGTGTTGGTAACGTGATGTTATTATCTGGTGTGTTGGTAACGTGATGTTATTATCTGGTGTGTTGGTAACGTGATGTTATACTGGTGTGTTGGTAACGTGATGTTATTATCTGGTGTGTTGGTAACGTGATGTTATTATCGGGTGTGTTGGTAACGTGATGTTATTATCTGGTGTGTTGGTAACGTGATGTTATACTGGTGTGTTGGTAACGTGATGTTATACTGGTGTGTTGGTAACGTGATGTTATTATCTGGTGTGTTGGTAACGTGATGTTATTATCTGGTGTGTTGGTAACGTGATGTTATTGTCTGGTGTGTTGGTAACGTGATGTTATTATCTGGTGTGTTGGTAACGTGATGTTATTATCTAGTGTGTTGGTAACGTGATGTTATTATCTAGTGTGTTGGTAACGTGATGTTATACTGGTGTGTTGGTAACGTGATGTTCTTATCTGGTGTGTTGGTAACGTGATGTTATTATCTGGTGTGTTGGTAACGTGATGTTATTATCTGGTGTGTTGGTAACGTGATGTTATTATCTGGTGTGTTGGTAACGTGATGTTATTGTCTGGTGTGTTGGTAACGTGATGTTATTATCTGGTGTGTTGGTAACGTGATGTTATTATCTAGTGTGTTGGTAACGTGATGTTATTATCTAGTGTGTTGGTAACGTGATGTTATACTGGTGTGTTGGTAACGTGATGTTCTTATCTGGTGTGTTGGTAACGTGATGTTATTATCTGGTGTGTTGGTAACGTGATGTTATTGTCTGGTGTGTTGGTAACGTG